CGCAGCGAAGGGACGCACGCACATGAACGACACGTGTGTGCGTCCCTCCGTCGCTATGGCAACTAAAGCCTCTCTCTTCACTTCTCCCCGCTTCTTCGAGCAACCTCCTTGCCCCGCGAGTGCCGCTTGCGGCTCGTGCCGTTATCTAGTGTCGCACAGGGAAGCGTGCTCTCTGCGTCGGTCAGTCGGCGCGGTTGCCGGGCTGTTTCGAAAACCGCACTATAACCGGTATTTCCCTCCGCACGCCTGCATTTTAAGCGGTATGTAATTACATGGAGTTCTATGGGAGGCGAACCGGTGGTTTAAAAAAGCCGCGTTATACCCGGTCCTGCACTATAAGCGGTTACGTTGTAAGTGGTCTATACTGTAATTGGCGCCGGGTCGTGTGCGGGTGAAAGGGTAGGAAAGTAAGAAGTAATATTCCGTTGAAAACGGCAAGCTGGTCCCGAGCTGTCAGTCAAAAACATTTAGATTTCTTGCTGTCGGTGCTGCTGGGGCGACATTATTGAACCTCCTACGGAAGAGATGGTTGGCTTCACTACATGGCAGGTTTGTACGCCTAGGTGGATCTACCGCTCGGCAACCACACATACTATTTGCCCTCTCCCTTCCGCTTGCCAGTGCTCGGAGCTGACAGGCATAGTGTAACTTATATAGGAGGCACTGCTCAGATCCATTTGGGTACGATTTGGAACACAGCCTAGGTGTGCCTGCTCGTGACGTCGGCTTCGGCGTCGTCTCTTTTGAAACGATATATGGCTGCGCTGCGCAGACAAAGTGGCACCTCCTGCTACTATTGCCCGCCGCTTTGCCGCCGGTTCGCTGTCCCCTCGTAGTCATATGTGAGAGCAGTGTTGGAACTAACGCGTTACAAGTAACGACGTTGCTGGTAACGCGTTGGTTTCTTAACTAAACATACTCGATAGAATCCCAAATGACTAACGAGTAAAGTTATGTCGTTATTATTTTAGGGAATCTCCTATGAAATTACGTTACCTGTTGCTCGTTACTTTTGATTAAAAATGACCACATGATTGTTTGAAAACAAAATAATTTTTATTCTGTACACTACGTAAAAGTGGCAAGAAAACCCAACAAAGCCATGTATAAATGGCGTCATTTCGAACTCCTTCGAAAGTCACCTTTAGCGTTCCCACTACCGGGCCCAAAATTAAAAACAAATACCTCCGACTTGCGTAACAATACCAACATTTATCAGACGTTTCGTCTCCTATACGGGAGACATCATCAGTGCGGCCTGGGAACACCCGACTAGCTACCAGAAATCCAACGCTTCTTCTTCCTTCTCTTCATCCATAGCGCTGGTTCTGCCGACTTTTTCGTCCATGGCATACGGGAGACATTATCATCGTCTGCCCTCGCTTCAACTTCTTTTTACGTCCGTCCTGGATGGGAAGTTAAATGACAAGTTATTTCAGGATGTTGGTGTATACGTCGAGGAGGGGGCCACGGTTAGAATTGCAGGCAGATGGGTCACTGCGAATACACCATGATTCCAGAAATCTTCTGGGGCCCCACCGTTGTTCGCGTGCCAGGGTCACAGCGTTCGCCAGGTCAAAAGTGTGACCAGTCGTCCAACAATGGTCCACCAGTTCAGTTTTTGATCTTGTGGCATGTGTTGCTTTCTCCACGTCTCTTTTGTGCTCTTTGAGGCGGGTACTCCGTTTGCGGCCAATTTCTCCGATGTAACACTTGTCACAGTCCTGACAGTTTGCTTTGTATACAACACCACTTTGAGATTCAGGAGGGGTTGAATCTTTTGGCTTCGAAATGAGGTCGCGTAATTTTATATGGGGTTTGAAAGTTGTTCGTATACCTAGTGGCAGGAGGGACCGGCGAATAGATTCTGAGACGCCTTTTACATAAGGGATAGTCACCACGCCTGCTTTGTAATTATTAGTTGCTTTTGTTCTTCCCTGCTGCATCTGTTTACGTGTTTTCAATAAAACCTTGTGAATACCCGCGCCTCAAAAGGGATCCGATAACAGTCTGAGCTTCCGATGCTCGTAAATCTGAATTTGAAGGCAAATGTTCTGATCGGCTAATTAAAGTTTTTACAACGGCTCGCTTATGTTCTACAGGGTGGTGAGAATCGAAACTCAAAAAATTACCGGTATCACAAGGTTTACGATACACGGTGGTTTCAATCTGACCGGTGTCACTTCGGCAAACAGTTACGTCCAGAAAAGGTAACGTGCTATTTTGTTCAACTTCTCGCGTGAACTGTATGGAAGGTTCAATGCTGTTTAGGGTTGCATGGAAGTCATCGACGTGATCCTCATTTAAAATAACGAAAGTGTCATCTACGTAACGTCGATAGAATTTGACAGGGCATGCTTTTACTTCTAACGCGGTCTGCTCTATGTGTTCCATTACCAGATTAGCCAAGGTCACAGATACCGGACTACCCATTGGGCAACCCTCAATCTGACGATAGAATTGTCCACGGAAGGTGAAATGCGACTGATTTAGACAAAAACGCAAAAGAATAATAGAAGGAAGAAGAAGCGTTGGATTTCTGGTAGCTAGTCCGGTGTTCCCAGGTTGCACTGATGATGTCTTCCGTATAGGAGACGAAACGTCTGATAAATGTTGGTATTGTTATGCAAGTCGGAGGTATTTGTTTTTAATCATGAATCCCGGCTTTTCGAACATTTCTGCATTTATTCGGGCCCAAAAGGCACCAGATTATCGCTGCGCGGAACCTTTAAGCATCCTTGCTAAAATCACCGTCACCGTACCCTGAGCAGCCGCGGACCCCGGTGCAGCGCTATCCTTTCCCCGCCGCGCTTCCCCGTTTGTCGGCGCTGTCAGGTCTGGGTGGACGCAGCGCGTGGTTGCTCCATGCACGACTCACGAGCGAAACGGCACAGTGAGAGCCTTCACGGATTCCGGACCATATGCCCCGAAACACGGAAGGACAAGGTCGGCAAGGAGCTCAATTGATTCGCGAGGAACCGCTCGGAACAACGGCAAAATTAAATGTCAAGTTTTAAAGAAAACGACAAGCCCCTCCTCCCCTCCCCTCCCCTCCCCTTCATTGCCACTACCACTGCTCTTTCCTTATAAACAGCTGTTACTGCGAAAGTGCTCGACAAAGGGCCACTGCGCTGAGGCGCGCACGGCTACGCAGCGAGAGTGATGCCCGAACCGCTAAGGTCAAATCGGCCCGTGTCGTTTGCGGTGAAGGATGAAAACAACCAGCAAGCAAGCAAGCACCTGCGTAACATGTTTTCCGCCTATTTCAAATTCATAACCATATTCACTATCACGTCGAGAATTAAGTTCACAATATTACTTCCCATCACAAACTCCCCAGGTGAAAATTTTCATTAGATTCCAATTGGAATTTCCAATTGGTACCAGCTAGGTTTTGGAACAACCAATTGGTCACTGCAATGGGAACCAATTGGAACCCATTAAGATTCCAACTGGAAATTTTTTTCCAATTGGTGAGACCCATTGGCCAGTGTGCTTCCAATTGGAACCCACTAAACCAATTGGTTCCATTTAAAACCAGTTAGAATTCCAATTGGATCTAATGGAAATTTTCAGCTGGGTCATCAAGTTCACGAGCCGCTCACATCACAGATTCATTGTGTTCACGAGCCATTCACCATCACGTCATGAATTCATTGAGTCATTCACATCACAATGAATTTATTTAATTCACAAAGTCATTCACAATCACAACACGACTTCATTCACCATCACATCACGAATTCATTCACCATCACATCACGAATTCATTCAAATTAACAAATTTATTCACCATCACATCACAAATTCATTCAAATTCACAAAGTCTTTCTAATTCACAAAGTCATTCACCATCACATGATTTTTTTTCAATTTCAAGAATTAATTCAGAGCCATTCAGATTCACGCCGTGAATGTGAATGAAGGTGAATGAGTGAGTTCATGGATGAATTTGCCGAGGTGTGCTCGAGGGTGGACTCGCTCGCCCTCAGACCTGGTGACTATGGGTCGTCACCGGGACATTTATGTGACATTACAAAGTGGGCACAGTGATTGATTGTGGCATTCATGTTTTTTTGTTTTTTTTTGTTTTATGATGTGTCGAGATGAAAAATGACTGCATCTCCACGTGGTGAATGATGTTGATTGGGGCGAAGCTCTGGTGGTGCTGATGATACTGATTTTGTTCGTAGGTAGTGCTGATGGTGCTGACTTTTTTTTATTGCTCATAGGTAGTGCTGAGTTCCGGGTTGCATTGGTATGGAATGTGTGGTATGGAACGTGGTTATATACGCATTTGAGCATTTGACCGCAGCGCCCTCTCGTCTATAAACGTTGAGCCAATGTATGCAAAGTTTTAACACGATTATATACGCATTTGACCGCAGCGCCCTCTCCTGTATAGACGTTGAGCGGCTACATGCAACGTTTCATCCATGACATCCCCAACTCTTGAGTTACTACCATATCTCAGAGCCCCCTACTCGTCCCGCAGTCGTGGCCGAGTGGTTAAGGCGATTGACGTGAAATCCATTGGGGTCTCCCCGCACAGGTTCAAATCCTGTCGACTGTGCAAACATTTTTTCTTTTTTTAAGAAGACAGATGGGATGGCAATCGATGTGAGCACGGACGCAGGACGGACAAGGCTAGACCCTAAGGAGCTTCGCCCCTAAAACACGATCAGGCTTACGGCCCGACTGTGTTCTTCACTCAATGGATTATGCAGGTTTTCGTTCACCAGAAGGTGATAGTTCCTTCGTGCGTTTTGATAAGGGGCGTGACTTCCTGTTTGAAACGAATTGGAATATAAGGCTAATTGATTTTCTTTTGGCATAAACTAGCACTCGTAAACAATAATATTATTATTAAAAATGAACCGGAGTTGCGCTCTAAATAGGACAACAATGAGCGTCGTCCCTCACGTTTCCTCACTCTTGCGGGGCTTTGTCCTCCGGACAATTTAGTGCATTTAGGATTGTACTTGAGCTTGTGACCGCAGCGGGACGGGCGGCCATGGACTACAGCAGCAAGCTGTCGGAGTACTTTGGAGAAGCCCTTCCGGAGTTTGACCTGCTTCTGCTAGGGATGGGACCCGACGGCCACACCTGCTCCCTCTTCCCCGGACACAAGGTGCTCGAGGTGAGGCTCGAACAGCGGGTGCCACCTTTGGAACGGTCCTCGAGGGGCTGCCTGGAATGCATTTCTGACTGGCCCATGCATCGAAGGTGGCCCCAGAGAGGCAGCAAATTATACCAGAAGCCGGTAGGATCACGCAACATGAGTCTGATGTCATCAGGTTGAAATTGAGCAACCACAAATGAGGACACTGTGAACAGAGAGATGCACTGGAGGTGCCATAATGGTGGTGGCAGAAGACCTGTTTGTCGCACGGCCTAGCTTGGCAGTTACTTGAGGCCCAATGGTTAGGGAAAAACGGTGGGAACCATGGTGGGCAACAAATTGGCTCGGTTGTCTTCGAGTAAAATCCAGTTTATTTCTTCTGATATATGGATTCTTGCCTGCATTGCGGGGTAGGGAGACAGGGACAGAACACATTGCTGCCTGATAGGACACCACCCCTACAGTTCAGAGAGGTACTACATTCGTATATACGGTGCTGTTTTATGATGCCAATAGTAAGAGAAAATAAAACATACAGATGAACATCAAAAAGGCAGCGAGACTACAAATCGAACAACATCGGAATAAAACTCAGTTAGAATATGCATCGAAGCCTTCATTTCTAAAAATTTAATGAGTTCAATTCTTAACAGGCGTGTCCTTCTCAAACACCTAATGCGAAAATCTGATAGCCCTCTATAACATCGAAGCGAAAACAATAAAAGCAGATTATTTATTCTACACTCCTTCGGAGATCGTGCCCAACTCGGTGATTATATTGAGGCGCCTGTATCTGAATGACCCTGAATGATGATGCAAAATTCCTATTTGGTTTAACATGCATGCCGGTTATCCCAAATGAAATGAACTGACATGTGATATTGCCACGCGCCGCCGTGTAACCGAGCTTTCGGTTGCATGTCAAAAGGTCCCCAGGTGGTCTAAATTAATCCTCAGTCCTCCGGTGGGGCGTGCCAGATGCCCGTCGTTGGTTTGGCACGTAAAACTCCCAAATTTGACTTTGATATTGCCACGCGCGTCGGCGAAGAGTGAGCGCGCGCGTGGCCGAGTGGTTACTGTGCTTGACTTTCGTGTGGAGGCCCAGGGTTCGATTCTTGGGAATTACGCGTCTTTTATTTATTCCTTCAGTTTAATGTTCTGGTGAATTCGAGAACATTGTTGTTTATTCGAGGTCCGAATGTTCTATGTGTCAAACCTTCTACGCTCATTATTCTGGAAGTCCACGTGTATACATAAGGGGCTTCGCGTGGCAAGCCAAACTTAGTTTCGCCCCAGAGCTCGATCCTGCTGTTTCGCCAACATCGATGCCTGTGACACGCTTAATTCAAACTTTCAGTTTATTCGAACTGACTCTGTGGTCCGGACTACACTATATGTATTTCAATGGGCGAAAACACCCGGTAATTCGAACGCTTAAACGCCCGCGCCGGTTAATTCGAACATCCCGCATCACCCAGCATGCCTTCAGGAGCGGGCTAACTCACGCGGCAGCGCCTCCAACGTCTCCAGTTCCAGATAACCATAACAACCGATCACATGGTGACCTTGAATGCTGCGATGAGCCGGCCAGATGAGCAGTGCGGTGCTCTCTTGCACGGTGATGGTGCTGTGCCGCTGCTCTTCGGCGCGTTTTCGGCGGGAGTGCGACAGTTCCATTTCTTGCCTTGAACCCGCGCATTGCTGCAGTTCGACGTGTTTTCGGTGGGCGTGCGACTGACGTTATCTCGATTCCAAGTGTCATGGCGAGCCAGGGCACGTACCGCCCACCAAAGGACCTCAAGACGAAGGTAAAAATACTGCAAGAAGGCACACTTTCCAAAACGGAAATAGCTCGAAGCGCTGGACACCACCGCACGCTACTTCTCTTGCCAGGAGAATGTGGATGCCGCGTTAAAGCTGGTCTCCAAGCTCCAAGCGATCTTTGTTGATTCACGACTGAGAAACCGCGCACAGGCACGCATCACGGATTACTTCCCTTTGTGATCGGTGAAAATAAATGTCCCGGAACTCATCACTAATGTGTGAGCTCAGTGCACATGCGCCGCCCAACGCAGCGCTGCACGTAAGTACTCCATTTAATGAGCTTTCGTTAATTTGAGCTTCGTTTAATTCGAACAAATTTTCTGTCCCTCTCAAATTCGAATTAACGAGGTTCGACTGTATTTTATTTTGGGCACAAGTCCGCCCCATTAAACAATTAGTTTCTCCAGTTAACTCACCACCTCGTCCTTTGTCATTCGTGACAATATCAGCCAGGGTTTATCAGTGGTGGCAAACAATGCTATTATAGCTGACTCTCAATAATTCAAAGCCTCTTTATTCAAATTTTTGGGTAGTTCAAAGCATTTTAGGTTCCCAGCATATACACATACAAGTTGTCACAGCTGCTGTGGAAAGAGAGAGAACAGGTCAGCCAACCAGTTTGAGAAATCAAATAATGAAAATATATTTTACAGAGAAGAAAATAAATGCAAAAAGAAATTATCGAGCAAAAGAAACAAAATGGTAAATTCATAGTTATCGGCAGACAAAAAAGACCTGCCTATACTTCGTTTCAACTTCCGTCCGAGCGCAGCTGAAGTTACGTGTGGCCGGAGCCAATCACACGCCGGCAATAGGTCATGCGATCTCGCCTGCACTTTTGTATCACTCCGCTGCACCGCTGGTCATTCTAGCCACCCGCGCTCGCCGAATATTTCGTCTGCTATGGGTGTATCAACTGTATCGTCTGCTACGGTTTAAAGTGTGCCTTTTCACGTTCTGAAATTTAGTCACGGGATGTCGGTACGTAGGCTGGCCGCTGGCGTCTGTGTCTGAGCTTTGCACTGTTCAGCATTTCGGCATAGTTTCGAGATGTAACTGCACATTGCAAGGTGCCCGATGACCCGGCCATTGAGGTTTCCTTGTATTGTCTGGATTTACCCGCGCTCGAGGCGCAGTACTCTCCACCAGCTTCTCGGCGTTCAATGTGATCGGCAGGTAAAGGGGTGCCCTGACTTCGCCGCGTATCAGTGAATTGTAGTGATTTGGATGCTTTTCTTGTTCACAATGCATTTGCGGTACGATGCGACCGGATCCGTCTCCTGCCGAATTTGAAATTAGACATTCATCACGACCTCTCGCACCTGACGCCCAAACGTGCCTTAGGGAAAAGACGTTTTGAAGCGACTCGGTGAGGAAAGCAACGAAGCAGATGATTTGGCCATTACGGGAACGAAATCGCTCAGAAAAACCGAGCGCTGCAGCCGTGTTGCCGGCAGATGTACGTGTTTTCACTAAAACACATACATTTACATATGTTAATAAAAACATTAACTTCAGATATTTAATTCCTTTAGTTGCAAATCATTCTGAGCAGTACACATCTGTGCAATGTTTACGCACAAAACAGTTATTTAAAAAAAAAATTACTTTTGCAGACTACTTTGTGGTGCGTAGGAATGCTCTTCTCAAAGTTGCGCACCGTCCCTCAGCCTTTGGCTGCGCTCGTACGGAAACTGAAAAGAAGTATAGTCAAAACCGTCTTCTCGTCTGAGAGTTGCCTGCGGTTCCTCCGAAATTGTAGAAGGGACGCCTCTGGGATAGCACATCGGGGCGGTGCCGGGCCGTATCGTATGTGGCGACCAGCCTTGTCGGGAGTGATCCCCTTGGCGACTGGCCTTGTCGGGAGTGAGCCCCTTGGCACTGTGATGTGGACAAGCCAGGATTCAGGTAGCCGCCGTGGCCGTTCGTCGCGGCTCACTGGTCAGTTCCGAATGCCTTCTCGTTCTCCCGTGTCCGCATTCCTCGTGCATCTTCCTCTTCTCTTTTTTTTCCTAGCTTTATCGTCATCACCGCACGACAGGAGTCTACGGGTAAATAGTGCGTGGTAATTCGAAGTTTAACCACCCAGACTAGTGAGTTAAAAGAACTTTTTTTACAGTCTCAAAAAGTTCAGCGACTTTGGGGTTCCCGAAAATGTCTCGAAATTATGCCGACCAACCTTAAACCGCACCCAAGCATACTTTATTGCTTTTATCTACCGCGCGCGCAGTCAGGAAAAAGGGGGAATGAGCATGGCACGCAGCCAAGCCTCCAATCGGCCGAGCCAATGAAGCGGCTAAACGACGCCGAGCCGAGCCGAGCCAGTGTGGCTGCGGGCCATGGGGCTAGGAAGCTTCCGGAGGCGACACGACGGCACCAGAGGTAAAGTTGGAGGAGACTTCCGGTTTATAGGAACATTCCCCCAACGATGCCCAAAAACAAATGAAACCAAAAGACGGTATTGGAGGGAAAGCACAGCCGATTTTGCGTCAACTGCTGTTTTGGCCACGTTTGGGGGCGTTCTCACGGACCGCATCCTCCACTCGTGGCTTCACTCTGGATTTTCTCGTTTGGCTGGCTCGAGCCAGTACGTCGCCTCCTCGTCTTCCTACCTCCTTGCTGCAGGTGCACGCTTCATGGTGTCATTACAGTGCACTAGAATAGAGGCAATGGAGTGAGCTGAATGGGCCGTGCCTCAAGAAGGCCGTCGTCGCCAGCGGTGAAAGAAGCAGCGGCGCTGCCGTCGCCTGCCACTGAATGCAGCCTCTTGGGACGTGTTTGGGGGAGCACATTTCGGTGGACTATGCCGGTTTGTTTTGTCGTCTCGTCGGTCTTGTTCCACGGAACGCTTGTGTACGACTGTGCGCATTGACGCCACCACGTATAAATAAACTGCCAAAAACGACCTACAGTGGACTCCTCTTAAACGGAACTCGAAGGGACAGAAAAATTTGTTCCGTTTATCAGAAGTTTCATTAAAGCAAAGCACATAAAATGAGTGAAATATGACTTTATTTCACAAGCATGATGTCCAGCTAATGTAGCTGACTAGAAAAAAGAGGTAATGGTAGTTTGTTTTGCATTTTGTAATCGCTTTTTGACGAAGTAGGTGTGCATGCCTTGGAGGTACAAAGGTTTCTGTTGACTGCTGCACCTTCCCCAGAAATAGTCTTAAAGACTAGGCCGTGGCGCTT